AAGCCTCTCAGAAGCCTCTCAGAAGCCTGTCTGAAGCCTTTCAGAAGCTTCTCATAAGCCTTTCGGAAGCCTCTCAGAAGCCTCTCAGAAGCCTGTCAGAAGCCTCGCAGAAGCCTCTCAGCAGCCCCGCAGAAGCCTCTCATAAGCCTCTCAGGAACCTTTTCAGAAACCTTTCAGAAGCCCCGCAGAAGCTTCTCAGAAGCCTCTCAGAAGCCTTTCAGGAGCCTCTCAGAAGCCTGTCAGAAGCCTTTCAGAAGCCTCTCAGAAGCCTCTCAGAAGCCTTTCAGACGCTTCTCAGAAGCCTCGCAGAAGCCTCGCAGAAGACTCGCAAAAGCCTCGCAGAAGCCTCTCAGAAGCTTCTCATAAGCCTCTCAGAAGCCTCGCAGAAGTTCTCAGAAGCCTCTCAGAAGCCTCTCAGAAGCCTTTCATAAGCCTCTCAGAAGCCTCCCGGAAGCCTCTCAGAAGCTTCGCAGAAGCTTCGCAGAAGCCTCTCAGAACCCTTTCAGAAGCCTCTCATAAGCCTCTCAGAAGCTTCTCAGAAGCCTCTCAGAAGCCTCTCAGAAGCCTCTCAGAAGCCTCGCAGAAGCCTCGCAGAAGCCTCTCAGAAGCCTCTCAGAAGCCTCTCAGAAGCCTTTCAGAAGCCTCTCAGAAGCCTTTTCATAAGCTTCTCAGAAACTTCTCAGACGCCTCTCAGAAGCCCCTCGGACGCCTCTCACAGATTCTACCGGGGAATCAAACCGGGGAAGGGTTGCACCGGGGAGTGTTCGATTTTCCCAGGGAAAGTCTGATTTTACCGGGGAAAGTATTTTTGTCCCTGGGGAGCTCTCTGGAAAACCCTCTCCCCCTAACCCCCCCTTTTGGAACCATCCGTTTCCAGTTTGACAATTTCTTGGTCCAGGTTCTTGATCTGCGCGGCGAGCGCCTGCGAGATGTGGCCTGCTGCGTCCGCTGCCACTTCCCGAGCTCGCCCCGCCGATGGGGCAGCGGGATCGATCTGGGCCGCCCGGGGGATTGCCGCTGCCTCTCTGAGATCCAGCACCTCCTCCGCACCAGAGGGTCCTCTGGTTTCTTGATATCGCTCCGCAGCTTCCCTGGCTGTCGAGCCTGCTTCTTCTTCTTCATTCCCCATATCCTAAGATGGGGTTCTTGTTATTACTTGGACGCCTCCTGCTCCTTCTTTTTCCTCTTTTCCTCCCCTCTCCTTCTCATACCCAGACTTACTCATACACAGACTGACTCACACTCAGACTTACTCAGACACAGACTTACTCACACACACACACACACATACAGAAGTATTTATATTCAGACCTACTCATACTCAGACCTACTCCTACTCAGACTTACTCATGGTAAGGCTCACGCACGCCCCGTTCGCGGCCGTTTTGTTGGGATGTCTCGAGCGGTTTGCTGGTTTTCTGTCCCAACATCCTTCGCTTTCGGAGCAGATTTGGAGGATTTCTTGAGCGAGGCGCTCATTGTGCCGCCAGGGGTTATCTCACAGTCCCGTTCGCGGCCGTTTTGTCGGGATGTCTCAAGCATTTTGATCGTTTTCGGTGCCAATGTCCTTCGCTTTAGGAGCAGATTTGGAGGATGTCTCGAGCGAGGCGCTCATTTTCACCCTCCTCGGGGGGGCCGCCGAGGGGTTATCTCATGGTCCCGTTCGCGACCGTTTTGTGGGGATGTCTCGAGCGGTTTGCTTGTTTTCTGTCCCAGCATCCTTCGCTTTCGGAGCAGATTTGGAGGATGTCTCGAGCGAGGCGCTCATTCTCACCCTCCTAAGGGGAGCCGCCAGGGGTTATCTCACGGTCCCGTTCGCGGCCGTTTTGTGGGGATGTCTCGAGCGGTTTGATTGTTTTCTGTCCCAATATCCTTCGCTTTCGGAGCAGATTTGGAGGATGTCTCGAGCGAGGCGCTCATTGTCACCTCCCTAAAGGGGAGCCGCCAGGGGTTATGTCACAGTCCCGTTCGCGGCCGTTTTGTGGGGGTGTCTCGAGCGGTTTGCTTGCTTTTTGTCCCAGCATCCTTCGCTTTCGGAGCAGATTTGGAGGATGTCTCGAGCGAGGCGCTCACTGTCACCGCCCAGGTGGGCCAGATTTTGAGGATGTCTCGGTCGGTGGCCAGACTCGTGGGCGCAGATTCTCCTCAGGACGCCACAGGAGGCCCCAGCAGGCTCCAGGAGGCCCCAGGAGACCACATGAGGTCCCAGGAGGCATCAGGAGGCCACAGAAATATTCAAGAGGCCACAGGATGTCCCAAGAGGCTCTAGGAGGCCCCAGGAAGCTCCGGGAGGCCTCAGGAAACCACAGGAGGCCCCAGGAGGCCAGAGGAAGCGCCAGGAGGTCTCGGAAGGCAACAGGAGGCCCCGAGAGGCCCCCAGAGCAGGAGGCCTCAGAAGGCAACAGGAGTGGCTCCAATCCCATGTGTTTTACGTATGCTCATATAGATTGGGCCTCACCTGGAGCGCGAATCCTTGATGTTATACGTATGTTTCTATAGATTGTCCTTCTCCTGTGTACTTGTGTTCCTATAGGGCCTCTCCTGGGGCACGAGTCCTTGGTGTTTTACGTGTGTTCCTATAGATTGCCCCCTTCTCCTGCGGCTCCAATCCGCAATGTTTTATGTTCGTTTGCTGTTATAGATTGGGCCTCTCCTGGGGCACGAATCCTCCCTAGGAGGTCCCAGGAGGCCCCAGGAGGCTCCAAGAGGCTCCTGGAGGCCCCAGGAAGCCCCAGGAGGTTTCAGGAGGCCCCAGGAGGCCCCAGGAGGACCCAGGCTCATGCGCAGAGACGCGCTCGTACTACTGAGGCTCGTTCACACTCCAACTCATTCTCAGTTAGATTCATGGCCAGACCGTCACAACTGAAGCCCGTTTATATTCGAAAGCTCTTGCGCCTAGACATTCACGGCGGACAGGTCCATCCGACGATGATTATGCTGCTGATGATGATGATGCTTATGATGATGATGATGATGATGATGATGATGATGATGATGATGATGATGATGATGATGATGATGATGATGATGATGATGATGATGATGATGATGATAATGATGATGATGATGATGATGATGGTGGTGCAGGTGGTGCTGATGACGATGCTGCTGATGGTGATGAGGATGCGACGACGACCAAGGCGACAATGGTGATGAAGATGATGAATATTATGAGGATGATGATGCTTCTGGTGATGATGATAATTATGAGTGTGGTGATGATGAAAAAGATGATATTGATGATGCTGCTGATGATGATTGTGGTGTTGTTGTTCACCACATGTTTCATCCCTGCCGCGTCGCACCCCGCGTCTCCCGCACACCTCGCCTCCCCCTCCTTCTCCTTTTCGCACAGCACAGCGAGCGCAGCACAGCACAGCACAGCTCAGCACAGCACAGCACCGCTCAGCACGGCTCAGCTCTGCACAGCTCAGCTCAGCACAGCACAGCTGCTTTCTCGACGCCATAGGGTCCCTCAGCGCGGTCTCTATACGCGCCAATGTTGCAGGGCCTAGCAAGTGTGGCACTTTCTCGACACCGGAGGGGGTGCGCAGGGGGGGGTCCCTCAGCGCGGTCTCTATACGCGCCAATGTTACACGGCTTAGCAGGCGTGGCACTTTCACGACACCGGAGGGGGTGCGCAGGAGGTGGTCCCTCAGCGCGGTCTCTATACGCGCCAATGTCGCAGGGTCTAGCAGGTGTGGCATTTTCTCGACACCAGAGGGGATGCGCAGGTGGTGGTCCCTCAGCGCGGTTTCTATACGCACCAATGTCGCAGGGCCTAGCAGGTGTGGCATTTTCTCGACACCAGAGGCCGTGCGCAGGGGGGGGTCCCTCAACGCGTCTTCCATATGCGCCACTGTCGCAGGGCATAGCAGTCGTGGAACTTTCTCGACAACGGAGGGGGTGCGCAGGGGGTGGTCCTTCAGCGCGGTCTCTATAAGCGTGACTGTCGCAGGACCTAGCATGCGTGGCACTCTCTCGACACCAGAAGGGGTGCGCAGGTGGTGGTCCCTCAGCGCGGTCTCTACACGCGCCAATGTCACAGGGCATAGCAGGGCTGGTGATTTCTCGACACCAGAAGGGGTGCGCAGGGGGTGATCCCTCACCCCGGTGCTTATACGCGCCAATGTCGCAGGGCCTAGCAGGCGTGGCACCTTCTCGACACCGGAAGGGGTGCGCAGGGGGTGGTCCTTCAGCGCGGTCTCTATACGTGCCAATGTCGCAGGGCCTAGCAGGCGTGGCACTCTCTCGACACCAGTGGGGTGCGCAGGGGGTTATCCCTCAGCGCGGCCGCTATCCGTCACGGCCGTCCAGGGCATAGCAGGCTTGGCATATTCTCGATACCGGAGGGGGTGTGCAGAGGGTGGTCCCTCAGCGCGGCCGCTATCCGTCACGGTCGTCCAGGGCGTAGCAGGCGTGGCATATTCTCGACACCACAGAGGGTGCGCAGGGGGTGGTCCTTCAGCGCGGTGTGGACGCTTTGGCGTTGTAGTCGTTTCTGTTGGCACGGCATGTCAGGCCCTCAAGGGTTGAACCGCGCCGCCTTCGATGTCTGCGAAGCAACGGCCACGAGCAACATGCTCGCAAGTTCCACTTCAGCTACCATCACGCAAGACACATGATCATTATGTGGGGCTCCTCGGTAGCGTAATGGCTGTTGATGCTGATGCTGATGCTGATGCTGATGATGGGGTATGAGGTATGAGGGTTGTGGTGCTGATGATGAGGGCGGTGGTGGTGATGATGATGCTGCTGATGATGATGAGGGTGGTGGTGGTGATGATGATGATGATGATGATGATGATGATGATGATGATGATGAGGGTGGTGATGATGATGGTGATGGTGGTGATGATGATGATGATGAGGGTGGTGGTGATGATGATGATGATGATGATGATGATGATGATGATGATGACGATGATGGTGGCGGTGAGGATGATTGTAATTTTGCCCTGGTGGTAGCGCTCGTCCTCGCTGCTCGCGCCTCGTGCGAGGCCGGCGCGCCCGTGGTGGACCTCAGCGGCAGCCCTCTGGACGCGCGGGCCTTCCGGGCGGTGCTCGCCTTCCTGGCCACGGACGAGCCTCGAATAAGAAAAAACTGCATAAACATTAACTTCTGGTGCTCCGCGCCGATTGCTTGGATCCGCGCCAGGCCCCCCCTGGTGGCGCCTTCAGTGCCGCCCCTGGCGCGCTCCGCGAGCCAGGGAGGGAGGTCCAGCGCGGATCCAAGAAATCCGCGCAGAGCGCCAAAAGTTTATGTTCATGCCGTTGTTTCCTCTTCTATAGCTGCAGCTCGGCTGCGAGGAGGGCGGCGGGCCGGAAGGCCCGGGCGCGGCGGCGGATGCGCCGCTGGCCGAGGCCCACGACGACGACGACGACGACGACGACGACGACGACGACGACGACGACGACGACGACGACGACGACGACGACGACGACGGCGGCGGCGGCGACGACGACGACGACGACGACGACGACGACGACGACGACTTTGGCCCGACGCTGCTGCAGCCGAGCAGGACGAGCAGGCTCAGCCGGGAGAGGGGAGGCCCTGGCGTGCCTGGCGGTCGCCGCGCTCGCCGACCAGTACCAGGCCGCCAGGCTGGTGCTGCTGGCCGAGGCTCACGACCTCAGAGGAGGAAAAGGTACCCACACCTCTACCCTTCCCTCGTTTTCCCGTTCTTGGGCCTCCGGGGAGGCCCTCGTCGCCACCGCTGGATTCGCTTCAAAATCCTTGTCAGAACGCACCCCTGGAGAGGTCCGGGAAGTAGCGGTATTGGTGCCTTTTGGTATCCCTACGACCGGATTGCACAGCCGGCTCTGCGCCCTGTCGGTCTGGATTCCCTGGGCGCGATCCCGCGGATGCGCGGTCGCACGGATGCGCTCCGCGCGGGGCCGCCGCGAAGAAACGCCCCGCATCCGCGGGGTCCCGGCCCAGGGGCCCGGCCCGCGAGGCCGCGGATACGGACGCGTGTTTTGCCTCGAGAGGCACGGGTGCTGCGCGGCTTGCTGCCAGGGAGGGACGGGCTGGTGCTGCCGCTGCTGGAGCGCACCTTCGGCTCCGGGGGCGCCGTGGAGGAGGCGTGCTGGCGGGCCCTCGTGGAGCTCCGCAGGGGGGGGGCATCTGGCGCAGGGCCACCGGGACCCGGCCAGTGGCCACCCTGCCGAGGAGGCGCAGGCATGGCTTACAGCGGCGCGTGGCTCCGTGAAGGGCCCCGCTTCCCCACGGTGCCGAAGCCACCCGCGGGGGCGCGAAGGTGGTGGCGCTCCGCGCGTCGCGGCCTGGGCCCGAGGGGCGCCGTGCTCCCGGGCCGGGGTGCGGAGACAACCGCGCACTGCGGGGCGGCGACGTGCAGAGATTCGTGGCCTTGGGCGCAGTGGCACCGAGCCTGGCCGCGGGGGCCCCTTCCGCCGAGGAGGCGCAGGCACGGGGGAGCGACGCGCGACTGAGCCAGCGGCGGGGCCCCGCTTCCTTGCGGAGTCGGCGCGCTGCGTCGCCAAACCGGGCGGCATTGGCCGCACGCCTCGCGTGGGTTACAGTGGAGGCCCCTGCCAAGGAGCACCCTGCTTGCCCCCGGGGTGCCCTGGGTTTCTTCGGTTTCGATGGTTCTGCTATGGAGAGCGTGACGTTCCCTCGCCAAAAATCGATGGACGTCCTAGGGTCTCAGGGTTGGGTTTCTTGTGGAAGGTTTCCTGTGGATTGGCCTCCACTGCACCTTCCCCGACGCTTGGGTCTGGCGCCGACGCGCCAGACCCACAGATCCTTGAGATCCATGCTCGCGCGTGTCCGACCCAGGGCCACCCGCGCACGGTGTGCGCGCGCCCTCCATGGCCGAGGCCAGGAGGGTCTGTGCTCTGTCCTGGGGCCCAGGGCGGCCCTGGCCTCCGTCACGGTGGTGGTGTGCCCCGACCGAGGTAGCGGGTCGAGATCGGCTCGGGGAGGGTATACCCCAGTTGTTCTTCGTGTCCGTTGGACGTTCTCGTGCCTCCCGGGGGGGGCACCTTCGAAGGCTCCTCGGTTGGGCCTGCGGAGGGTCTCGTGTTCTTGAAGGGTGTTCTTCGCTCCTCCAGTGGAAGCCCATGCTAAGGAACACCCTGCTTGCCTCCCGGGTGCCCTGGGTTTCTTGGGTTTCGATGGTTTTGAGATGGAAGGCGTGACGTTGCCACACCGAAAATCAATGGACGTCCTGGGGTCTCAGGGCTGGGTTTCTTGTTGAAGGTTTCTTGGCTGTCGAGCTCCTAATGTAGGTCCGACCATGTCCAGGATGCCTCCCTCCTGCGGAGGAGCGGCCGGTGGCAGTGCTGGGCTCGCTGGGCGACGCGGAGGCCGACTCGATCCTGGAAAGGGCCCCGCGCCTCCGAGTGGCGTTGCTGCGCCGCCTCGCATCCGAAGTGGGCTCCTTGCGCGGGGCGCTTGCGGGGTGACATTCCTCCTAGTCCTCCTCCTCCTCCTCCTCCTCCTTCTTCTTCTCCTCCATCCTCCGCCTCCTCCTCCTCCTCTTCCTCCTCCTCCTCCTCCTCCTCCTCCTCCTCATCCATCCTCCACCTCCGCCTCCTCCTCCTCCTTCTTCTCCTCCTCCTCCTCCTCCTCTCCTCCTCCTCCATCCTCCTCCTCCTCCTGCTCCTCCTGCTCCTCCTCCTCCTCCTCCTCCTCCTCCTCCTCCTCCTCCTCCTCTTGCCCCTCCTCCTCCTCTTCCATCTTCTCCTCCTCCTCCTCCATCCGCCGCCTCCGATGATTTTCACCAGCAAGGACGGCGAAACCTACCCGCTCACAACCACCTCGCCAGTTCTCCTTCGTCGGATGCTTGCGATAGCGCGGCAGGAGCAGTTGGCAGACCAGGCCGCTCAGAAAATTGGAGCTGATGCAGTTGACTTGTCTCACGCCCGAACAGCGCCGACGGACAAACCACTGACCAGACAGGAACGCAGCCTCCTCGTGTCTTACCTGACCCAGTCGATCTGGACCATATGCAGGCTCAAAGACGCAGGGTACGACACGGACACTGCATGTGTATGTGGGGCCCGAAGAGGCTCCTGGAGTGCCCCATAAGTGCTGAACTTAGGTAGGGATTCAGGTCTGGAGGAAGGTGATGTTGAAACCCTGAAGGAGCCCCTAGCTTTCGCCACTTGTGCTGGTTTCCTGAGCCTCCCCCTTTAGGACGTTTTCTGGTCCCGTGATGGCCTGTCGCCCGGTGAAGTTTTTGTTGGCGAGGTTTATGTCGACGGCAGTGTGGCAAAGGACGGCCATCCAAATTTTCAAGGCCCAGGATGGGCCACTGTCAAGTGTGATTCCCACGGGGAGGTTACAGCACACCTCTGTGGGCCAGTAGGTAGAGGCCTGCCGCCCGCGTCCCCAGCAGCAGATTTTCTAGCTTACCTAGCCAGCAGCAAGTACAGAGGCGTGGCCAGTATACAGTCATATTTCAAGGGTGTAGCGGCCTGCCACAATTCAGGTAAGCCAGCCAGTAGGAAGAATATGTTTGACGGGCTCGATTATATAGCCAAGCTCGGTGAGGCCAGACAGGACGGGGACGTTGGTGTCGTCAAGGCCAAGGCCCATCAGAACCTTGATTCCCTCGAGCGATGCTCTGACCAGTGGAGACGCCTCAGGGAATGATGCTGCCGACCGAATCGCCAAGCTTGCCGCCTCTCGCCTGTCCCAGCCCTCTCAGGCCGAGAGGGAAGCCCAGATGCTGTTCGACAAGAGAATGAAGCGTTCCCTTCGGTACGTGCCGAAGGCTTGGAAGCCCCAGTCCAGGCCACCAACCCAGCGGTTGGTGCTCGTTCGATTGCGGAGGTGTGGCACCGCGGAGCCAACTCAGGGGGTCGTGTTTCGCGCCCAGGGGCCGTGGCGCCCCCCCCCCCCCTCCTCGGCCTCCGTGGGAGGTGCGCGCTCGCTTCGTGCATGTTTGGAACTGGCAGAATTATCGTTGGCCCGGCTGCTTCGGCTACTCGCGGTGATTGAATACAAACTATAAGAAGGATCGAATCAAGGAGCGTTGTCCTGGGAATGTTGTTGCCTTAGCCAAGCTTGCGCTCCAGCCCAACGGTCATGTACTCCTGGTGTTTGATCATTTAGATGATGACAGCTTCATTGTTGCATGTCAGATGCGTGGCAAGTATTCCGAATGTACTCTGAAAAGCTTAAAGGACGCCCCCAATAAGTTCAAGTCAAATTGTTCGAGCAACGCGTCCGAGCGGCTCATGGAGGGGCGGCACCCGGGGTCCTCAAAACAGAGCCCGATTGTTCTTCTGCCCCCGATCCCATTTTCAGAAATGTCCAAGCAAGCAACCCAAGCGCTCGAGTCGCCATAGCAAAGTCGAACCCTCTCCGAAGCTGTGCGATGGTCCCCTTCCTCCTCCTCCTCCATCGTCCGCCTCCTTTTCCTTCTCCTCCTCCTCCGCCTCCATCCTCCGCCGCCTCGTCCTCCTCATCATAACCGTCGTGGTCGTCGTCGTCGTCGCCTTCGTCGTCGTCGTCGTCGTCATTTTCATCATCATCATCATCATCATCATCATCATCATCATCATCACCACCATCAACATCATCACCATCATCATCACCAGTATCTTCATGCACCGTCGATCATCGTCATCACCAGCATCATCCGCATCCTCATTGTCAGCACCATCGTCCTCATTTCCACTTTCATCAGCATCATCATCATATATCAGCATCACCAGCATCTATAGTACCACCACCACCAGAACAAATCGAATGATAATCCGATTCGCAATCATAGTAGTACGATTGCTAATAACTCGAGCATCAGTCTTACGAACAAAATCGCCAACAGTAATATTAAGACTGAAGATATGCATGCGAAAGGTAATGCGAACACGAGTAGCAACACACATGCTATACCTAATCGTAGGAGCGATACGAATGGAAACAGTTTGGATAAATGCGGGTAGTGCTAATCGATGCAGTAGTAACGCTTGTATCATTAACATTCATAATACGAAAGTGAATGACAATATCAATCACAATCACACTAACACCTTGATCGCAACCACCACCACCATCATCACCATAATCCTCATACTCCTAACCATAACCATCACCATCAGCATTATCATGAGCATCAGCATTTGCAGTGTCATTGTCAGTACCGTTCTCATTATCATCATCACCATCGTCATCAGCATCATCATCATCACTGCCACCACCATCATCATCCTGCCAATCCTCTCCATCGCCGTCATCGTCATTACCACCACCACCACCTCCACCACTATCATCATCGTTATCATTATAGACGTTTCGGGTGCTCGAGCGCCTTGGCGGTCATCGGGTGGCACTTCCTGCTCATGCTTCTTCCTGCTTCTCATCCGTTCGTTTGGTGTGTGTCTGTTGCTTGGTCATGTGTTCCCTTTCGCTTCTGGTTCAGATCTGAAGCATGAGCATTTTCAATTGGGACGAAAATCGCGATATTCCTTTTCGCCAGCAGCTTCCGGGAAAAATGGCGCGCATCGCGCTCCATTCCCAGGATCCTTGCATTCCGGCTGCTCAGATCATGCTAGCCGCGCATACAGTAGAGACCCATGCCAATAAACACCCTGCTTCCCTCCAGGGTGCCGCTGGGTTTCTGAGGTTTCGATGGTTTTGCGATGGAGAGCGTGACGTTCCCCCACCAAAAATCAATGCACGTCCTGGGGTCTCAGGGCTGGGTCTCTTGTGGAAGGTTTCTTGTGATCGGGCCCCTACTGTGCACCCGCGCGCAACTGCGGCCTCTGCAGACGCCTGGTTCCAAGTCTGCTCCCAGAGGCCCTGGGCCGCCATGTGGCGACTCTGGCTTTGAAGGTGGCGATGATCAGGACCGTTCTTTCCGGAGGCGTGGACGAGATCGGCGCGTTGCACCTGCTGGTGGCGGCTTGGCGGTTGCTGGCATTGCGGCGGCGGCAGTATGCACTGGCCCGTCATTCGGTGGCGCGAACATATCCGGTTTCGCCAGGCTGCTGGGGACGCAGGGCTTTCCAAGCACAACAAGTTACTCCAAGTCCAGGGGGGTCGTCTTCCCTCGACTTCGCGCTTGGGCGACCTCCCCAGCTACGTACGTCGGCGTAGTTCGGCTACGACTCTTGGCGCGTTGCAGCGGCCCTGCATCGCGATGATCAGCAATGGGAGCACAGATGAAGCCGGCACATGCTCCAGATTCGTCATCGGCAGGGGTAAGGGCGAATGTGGGGGCGGTGGTTAAGGAATGTGCCCAGGAGGTTTCAGACCCTGGAGGATTCCTTATCCGATGAGGGCGGCGATGAAATCCATGGCTAATGCACGATTGGAGTTCCACCGACTTCAAGACCCTGGATTCCTTATCCGATGGTTCGTTTTGTGTTTACCCCTCGAAGTAACCACACTTTACTTTACAGCGGGAGTCCCGCTGGGTTCTGAGTGGTCTTTGGTCTGTCTTGACCTCCCCCTTCAGCAAAGCGCCAGAGTCCAACCGCACTGAGGCTATATTTTCGCCACCTCTAAGGCGCAGCTTTGTGAGGTGTGAAAATTTGGAGGAGTGCCCAGGTGCCCCTCCTGGCCTCGTGCCCTCTTGGCCCCTACCCGCTCACAGGGCGTTCACGGCTGGTGGGCTCCCTCGGAGGAGCGGTGGACTGTACCCCCTCCTCGTCCTCCCTCCTGTCGGTTGTCGGTCGTCTGTCGGTGGTCGTCTGTCTTCCGTCGGTCCGTTTTTGTCACGCTGGCGGGCGACAGAGCTCTAGCTCTAATGGAGAGGCGGTGCGCGCAGCTGGTGCCATGAGCGCCGCTTCCTGTGCGCAGAGAGAGCCCCGGATTCATCCAGGGGGGCGTGGATCAATCCAGCGGGTTCCGTCTCCACGTGTCTTGTTCTGCGACGGTAGCCGCGCTTCCTAAGAGAGCATTCACACATGAATGCCCTTTGCAAAGGGCTGCTGGGAGCACCCTATCTTCCTTTCACGAGCGGTTCGGTGCCGCCGCTGCGCAGTGTTGTGCAGGTAAGGCCAGATTGGCCCACATCGCCCTTGCATCCGCTGGGCAAGAGTTCGTCCTTGCATTCGCTGGGCGGCTCTGTGTGCATATGCCCTTGCATTTGCTGGGCAAGAGTTCGTCCTTGCATTGGCTGGGCGCCTCTATGTTCATATGCCCTTGCATTTGCGGGGCAGTCGGTGGTAAGCCCTTGCGCTCGCTGGGCAAAGGTTCGTCCTTGCATTCGCTGTTATCCTCCTTCCGCCACGTTCCGCATCCAACACCATATTCCTGCGCAGTCATCTTCGCCTCATCTTTTCCAAACGGCTTCAAGAGCTCGCAAGCAGCATTCTTACATCGGAGAGCGCGATCTGCCGTCGGATGGTTGTAATACATTCCCCCCCATTTCCAGGAAGCGGGGGGGGGTACGTTGCTGCCCCCTGGGGCCGCAGTGCCCGCGGAGTCGCCTCCTCCGCCCTACTACAAAAAAGGGGGGTACAATTCCCCCGCCCCCTTTGTTTTCCGTGAGCCCAGGAGGGAGGGGCAGACCCCCGACGTCGTGATTTTTTTCATAACGTCGACGCTCAGAGGTCTGGACCCCTTCCCTGGGACCGGTTTTTCATCCAGAGTCGTTGTTGGACACTCCCAAGGCCCAGTAAGGCCCCACAGAGCCCGAAAGTAGCACAAAACCTCCCGTCTTGATCTTTTCACACCGCGAGGGGGTCTGGGCCCTCCATCCCTGGAAAGTTGGGAGGGGGGGTGCAGGACGCTACCCTCCCCCGGTTCGAGCGGGCGGGGGCGGCTGGCCGGGGGCTGGTCCCGAGAGCAACGACGACGATGGCGGCGACGACGGCGCCGCCGACAACGCCGACGACGAACGGGGCGTCCAGCCAGACGAGCGGGTGGAGCATTTAAATGCAATGTGATTGTTTTTTTATTCGTTGTTCTGCTGATTGGCGCGGGCCCTCGCACCCCCTCCCCCCCCCCCACGGAGTAGGTCTTGGCCGCTTTGGGCGCCTGTCTCAAGTGGGTGGAGTCTCCTTCATACGACGCACTGCTGCAAACAGTCGCATCAAGCAGAGGTCCGGAGCCAGTCCCCCCCACCCCCTTCCGCCCAATGTCGAAACGCCGACTAAGAAAACGTTCATCATAGGACCGAGAGATGTATATGACACCGACGATGCGGGCCGGGTGGGCGGGACATTATATTCAACACGGCGACGACGACGACGACGACGACGACGACGGCGGCGGCGACGACGACGACGACGACGACAACGATGACGCCGACGCCGACGCCGACGCCGATGCCGACGCCGACGCCGACGCCGACGCCGACCCCGACGCCGACGCCGCCGCCGCCGCTGCCGCCGACGACGACGACGACGAGGGCTCGATCCAGCTTCTGAGTAGAAACGTGCAACCTGCAGGATTTAGCTTGAACAGAATCCTATAAGGCTGGATCCAGCCCAACTAGAGTCTCACAAAGGCCCCATCCAGCTGCAATTGCGCCCTACATACCAGAGGCATCCACCTCTAATGGGGTCCTATAAAGGGTCCGACCCAGCTCCAATCGAATCTTGCCACTAGAGTTGGATCCAGCTCTAACAGAATCCTACTAGAGCCCCATCAAGCCCACAGTGATTCGGTTCAGTTCAAATAGAATATTTTTAGGACTGGATCCGCTTTTAAAGGGACCCTACGAAAGACTCGACTCAGCTTTAATCGAAACCTGATAGCAAGGCTGTATCCAGCTCTCACAGAATGTGACTAGGGTTCGATCCAACTTTTAAAATTCTTATTATGGGCTGGGTCCGTCTCTGGCAGGATCCTACTATGTATGGACGGAGCTGTAATATAATGCTATGGGGGCTCGATCCAGTTGTCAGGCGTCGACGTCGTGAGCATCGCCGTCGTCGTCAACGCGCGCGGACCCCACTAGCGCTCAGTCGTCGTCGTCTTTTTCGTCGACGTCGTGGTCATCGCCGTCGTTGTCGTCGCCAGCGTTTTCGTCGCCAGCGTCGTCGTCGGCAGTTGCCCACCCGCCGGAGTTCGAACCGGGGAGGGGTTAACCCCCCATCCCAGGTACGCAGAATGTTTTCTCGGAGGGGCGTACTTGGCAAGTCGTGTGAACTCCTCCTCCATCCGCCCTCCTCTTGGCGAGTGCGCTCCTCGGCGTCGGCGTCCTGCGACCTACCCGCGACCCGCCCTGCTGGAGAAGTTCAGGGGGGGCGGCGAGCGGGCGTATGTCATAGACCGCGCTTCGGGGCTCGCAGGAGAAGTAAGCACACCTGGTCGTCGTCGGCCTTCTCCTTCCCTGTCCTTGTACATGATTCCTCCCTGCCGCATCCCCAGACGTGTTGATCGGGCGGGCTGGGCGTTTCGCCTTAGCTTTCCGCGCTATGCCTGGCCCTGAAGCCTGAATTTTGCAAGGGTCACAAAGATTTGCGCGCAGGCCGGTTTCAAAATGATGTTCCGTATCGCCGCGCACATGTGTGTTGAAGGTTGCGCCATTTTCAGTAATTCAGAGGGCCATTGTTTGTAATGCTTCTCTCGCTTTCCGCCCGCATTTTCGTTAAGCCTTTGCAGCATGTTTAAGGATGGACGGTGGTGGCATGCTCAAAACGTCACTCTCGCCGTAGCGCCGCGCTCACTCGTCTCAAAGGTTCGTCAAAACCTCAAGGATGAATGGCGGCTCCTGTTCGAATTATGGCTCTAGCCTTAGCGCCGAGCGCATTCGTCCTAACCGCATTCAAGAGCTTCAAGGATGGAGGGGGGGGGCGTTTTTGAATTGCGGTTGTCGCCTTAGCGCCGCTCCCATTTGTTCGCACACAATGCGCGACAGTTTCGGGGGTGGAGTGGGGCGTTTAAAAAAATGCGGCGTTCATGTCAGCGCCGCGCACATATGTTCTATCAGCTTGCAGTAGCTTCAATTGCAGAGGGCGGCTCCTTTTTTTTAAAGTAGGGAGATTGTTTCGACGCTGCGCACATTCGTGCCAACATCTTGCAACCTTTGTGAGGATTGAGCAGATATCGTGATTAAACCGGGGCTCTTGCCTCAGCGCCGTGCGCATGTCGTATTTGTCGCTGGTTTTCCCCAACCAGTGCTTGCACTGAAGGGGTCCTATCGGAAGTTGAAAGATTTGGCGAACGTTTCCCGCCGATTTTGGTAGCAGGCTGGGTTCCCGGGTTCCCGGTTCTGGGTTCCCGGGTTCCCGGTTATTGGTTCCAGGCCGATTTCGGTGGGTTCTGGGTTCCCAGGCTCCCGGGCTCCCGGGTTCCCGGTCGATCTCTTCAGCGAAAACCATCCACTGATTGGGGTTGTTCTCAGGTGTAATAAAATTGTTGTCTCGGTAGTGGTACATCACTGAGAAGATTGAGGGTTGGTTTTCTAAATGGGCTTATCGCTCTGCTTGCAAAATGGAAAACTATCGTTTGAGATCCCCTAGACGTTCATGAGCACAAGTGTAAAGTGGCGCTTGCACGGATGAGGGGTGGTCCTTCGAAGCGGAGATCTCGAAGGACACCTCGTCGAATTGCGTGATCACCATCTTCGCATTCCTGGTCACGCGCCCGGGGACTGCAAGGCGATTCTTTTTCAAAGCGGAGCCCTCGCCAACATGGTAGGCCCAAGTGTGCAGGTCTTTTTCAGGTGAGACGCTCCTTGCAGTGAAAAAATGAAGCCTGCAGGGACGCAGGACGAGGGGACTTGGGACGGGAAAGTGCCTTGAAGCATCGCTGATACATCTTGGGTTTACTGTGGTGTTCCTCCTCCTCCTCCTCCTCCTCATCCTCATCATCATCATCATCATCATCATCATCATCATCATCATCATCATCATCATCATCATCATCATTATCATC